GGGGGGGGGGTATGTCCCCGTGTGAGTCAGAAATGACTCCATGGCAGGGAGCTTGGCTTTTTTACACTCTCTGCTCAGTTATACGGCAAGCCCCTGGAGGATACGTCTGTTCGAGTGTTCACTCTTTGAAGGCCCTTTGCTTAGCTCTTCCTTGCACAGAGAAAGCTCTCAGTCGCTGCTGATGGCTTCTTAAGTGCTTGCCACCAGAAGAGGAAAGGCAGCGCTATCATGAGCAAATGTGCCTGAATGCTTTGCATCTCAGATCTGAATGTGAGCTGAGAGGTGAGGTACTCCGTTGATGAGCCTTTCTGTGGCCGTTAGGAGAGAAGACTGTTGCATAAATGTCACCCATCTTCTATCTGACCCACAGGAGACAATCACAATTGGCATTTCCTAGAGACAAATCTTGGGTAATGGCGTGGGGCCAAAGACAGGGATTCTCTGCCACAGCGCGACATGCCCCTTCTCACCCCGCTGGGAGCTTGGGGTGGGTTTGTACATTTAGCCAAGTGACTGGGGAGTCTACCGTCAGACTACATGGATTCACATCCACCCTCTTCTCCTTCGTAGATGTGTATCATTGGGCATGTTATTTAAACCCTGCATACACCCAGTTCCTCATCTGAATCCAGCTGATAAGAGCAGCACCCCTCGGAGTGTTTAGGAAGATGCAATGACTTCTTACCAGGAAGGCCCTTGGGACAATATAGGGACAAGGACACTCCCAGTGCATATTGTTGCTGCACTTAGTACAGAGAAAGGAAGCAGAGCCCTGGGCCTGGCTCTTTGATTTGCTTTGGGATGGGGCTGCCCAGCCTTAGCTCTCCTATGTCTCCGCGTGTCCAGTGCAAACACTGGTGACACCCAGTGAGGCCATTGCACAGAGCTTCAGCGAGGTCCCCATGAGCGCAGACATGTGCAGAGGCTTTATACCCGACGGGGCTCTGCATGCATGCCGGGTGACAGTCCCTCCTGGTGCCTGCACCTGCAGGGGTCACAAGAGAGCTGCGGTGGCACAGTGGTTAAAGCACTTGGCTCCCATGATTGGCCGTTCGCATCTACCCACCATGTCTCTGGGGAACGATGTGGCAGTCTGCTTCCGTGCAGATGACAACTTTGGAAACACTATAGGGCCGCCCACTCTGCCCCATGTGGGGGGGGGGTGTCACCATGGGCCGTTGTTGTTGACTTGGTGGCAAGGGGTTTGGGAGAGTTGCACGTGGCATGATGCTTTGTGGCACAGCTACTTATTTTATCCGCCTGCTCCACTGCAGCGGGGGCCCCTTGAGGCCAGCCTCATCCCACCACCACGTCTAGCCTGAAGGCTGTCTGGGCCACAGACTCAGGAAGGGGGAAATCAGGAGAACGGCCGTCTTCTTGCATGTGTTTCTGTAGCTTCTTCCCCATTAGATGGTATATACCATGTCGAGCACACACACACACACACACACACACACACACACACACACACACACACACACATCAGCCCATAGCTTCTCGGGGCGGGGGACAAGGAGGTACACCTACAAGCAGCACCTGTGAGGCAGTGTCCAGGCTCAGGAAAGGGGCCCCTATTGGTGGACGCTGACTGTGTGGACACACCCTGTCCTGCAGCCCTGGGACCCTTCCTGAGCTCTGATGGACTCTGCTCGCTCAGCAGCCTTCCAATCTGCCCGAGGTTTCTGACTTGGTCTCCCAACAATTGGGAGAGAACAAAATGACCGGTTTGGCGGCCAAACTTGGCAAATGGAGAAAGAAAATCGTGGTGTTTTATAAAGCACCAGTGACCATTCTGCCCGTACTGAAATCTTCACCAGATGGTAACGATGGCTGTTCTAGCCCTGCCCCCACCAGCCCCCCTCTCTTTCATGAGGTGGGGGTCTGGGAGAATCCCATTTGCCTAATGACATCCTTTATTTCTCCATCCTTGGAAACGTCTAGTCACTGGGGTGATGCAAACAATGGCCATGCTCAGCTGCTAACCACAAAAAGTCTGGCAGTTGAAGAGTGCTCCTCAATGCACCTTGGAAGAAAGGCCTGGCCACCTATGTCCAAAAGACCTGTGCCATTGAAAACCCTCTGGAGCAGAGTTCTACGCCGACACACATGCGTGCGAATCAGCTCCACACCCGGCCGCTGGGTCCGGCTCTCAAAGGACCTACTCGGTTATGCACCGAGAAGGTACAGACGAGGTGCCTGACAGTTGGGATGAAAGGGACCAGGGGAAACCAAACTACAAGAGCCTCAGAGCCTCCGTGGGAGGTGAATTGCACAGGAGCCTATTGACGGCAGGAGTGAATCTGGATTGTTTTCTTTGGGTTTTTTTTCCCCCCTGAACCGCTGGCTGCCTTCACATTTCCTGGTGGAAGTGGGATAGGTCAGCAGACAGCCCAGGACTTCAGATAACTTTTGCCCACACAATGACTTTTCAGAGCGTTGGCTTGAAATTGAGGTGTGTGTGTGTGTGTGTGTGTGACCCAAGGGCCTCCCATGACCCCCAGAGGTCTCGGCTCTCTTCAATTGGGCTGATCTCCACACAGAGGATGTGGACAGTGGAACTTTTCCTGTTTGATGTCACACTGCTATCCTTTAAAAGTCCGAGGGGCAAAGGAGGGAATCCAGCCCTGCACAGTCGCTCCAGGTACCCACGAGGAAGAACAGGAGGAAAAGGCTGAGAGTCACGACCATCCAGCAGAGGCAAGGAGACAGCGTCGGGTTTCAAACTTGGCTCCAGCCGTCCAGACAGCCAGGATGTTGGGGGCCCACCTCAGACTCTGGGTCTGTGCCTTGTGCAGTGTGAGCGCCATGTACCACGTCAGAGCCTACCCCAACGCCTCCCCGCTCCTGGGTACCAGCTGGGCTGGCCTGACCCACCTGTACACGGCGACAGCCAGGAACAGCTTCCACCTGCAGATCCACAAGGATGGCCACGTGGACGGCACCCCCCACCAGACCATCTACAGTGAGTAAGGGGCTCCGGGCGGAAAGAAGGGGGCGCTCTCTTGTGAGTTCATCTGCACGGGGCTTGGGAAAGCCTTGGCTTAGACTAGACCAGAGATGAACCCGTTTCCTATTGCTGGGGCTAGAATCCACTTATTTTAACCCTGGGGGAAGATTCACCCAACTTCTGAATTCCTGATCCCTGGATCTCCCAACACAGACCGTTTCTGTCCTACCTGAGCCCCTCCCACAGAGCCCCCTTCGCCGTGCTCTGTCCAGGGTACAGAAAGGACGGTGAGGAGGTTGAGAGCAAAAGAAGCCAGCGAGAGAACAGGATGGGCACCGAGCTTGAGCTCATGAACTTGGGACTGGACTGGCTAGGAGAGACGAGCCCAGGGGCCCTTGTCAAAGCTAGTATTCCGGCCTCAAGAAATCTTCTTGGGAAGAAGGTGCTGTGTGGGTGTGTGGTCTGGGTGAATCTCCCCTGGGTTCGGCGGTCCTTTTTGAACCCTCCCATCCACCTGTCTCCTCACGTATCCAGCAGGTCTTTACTGGGGGCTTCAGGGGCCCAGTTTGGTCCGAGCTGTGACTCTCCGTGGAGCTGTAAGGTGTCCAGCCAGGTGTAGGCTGGTGACATCGAGTCTATTCCGAATCAGGGTGTCCCCATGCACGTCCGAGTAGGACTGCGCTCCGTGGCCTTCTTTCTCTCTCTCTCTCTCTTTTGGGTGTGTGTGTGTGTGTGTGTGTGTGTGTGTGTGTGTCTGGGTTTTTTAGGACTCTAGAATATTTCTCCAGGACGAGGAAGGAAACCACAACAATGCCCCAGGTTTTCATGTTTCTGATGGTTTCAGGAGTAGATGGCCACAGAGTCTTTGGGTAGACTTGAACCTCTGAAGCTGACTCACAGAGGAGCGTGTTAACCATTCTCACTGCCCAGCGACCCCCTTCACCGGTTAAGAAGTCTGTGGAAAGGAGGTCCTAAGCAGTCAATCAATTAGCTAGATGTCAAATGAGAGCTCACTGTACACAACCACATAAGGCTGCAAGGGGCTCTGTCAGAAGTGGTGGTAAGAATGCGAAGGTTGTCGGTTTGGACCCATGAGCAGCTCCACAGGAGCAAAGAAGAGGCCATCTGCTTCTGGAAAGATCCCGACCTCGGGAACCCAGGGGGCCGTGCTACCCTGTCCTATCGGGTTGCTAGGAGCCAGCACCAACCTGATGGTACTATGTTTGTTTTTTCGATGTGATTACAGGGTGGATATAAAAAAATATATATATAGCATCTTCTATTTTAGAGGGGCATGTAAAAATTACTCCCAGGACACAGACTAGTATAAACAGAGTCAATATAGATCAGACTAAAGGGATAAAAGACGATCACCATTTCTGCTGCATGAAACAAGACTCTTTAGACAAATTGCGATGTGCTGTTTATTGCTGTGATCAGTGACCCCGTGTTTTCGCGGTTGCCTTACTGTGAACCAGGGAGGCACTGTGCTAGGAACGAAGACTCCGGAAACCTGGTAACGAGGAACATGCACAGATGGGGGGTCGGGGGGGTCACTCCAAATACCAAACAGGTTCCACAACGCAAGCGGATACAGTCTCAGATTCAAGCGCCAACATCTTAGAAGCCAAGGTTTGAGCACCCTTGGCGGAAGCTGGGCTCAGTGATGGCTCCAGAGTGCTGCTGGTTTCGATCCGTGGCTGTCCCTCAGAACCCAGAGTGTGTCTGGGAACCTGATGGTGTAGTGCTGAGGCACTGGGCTGCTAACCGAAGGCCAGCAGTTAGAAACTGAAAGATGAGGCTTTTTTTTTTAAACCCCTGTACACAGAGTTTCAGAAACTCACCGGAGCAGGCTGAATGGCTGGATGGCAGTGAGTTTGTTTTTTGAGACATGCTGAGCCCAAAGCTCAGCCGTTTGAGCCCCACCGCTGCTCCCCGGGAAGATGAGGCTGTCTGCTTTCCTCAATCTCTGCAGCCTGCAACCCCCCAGACATGGGGGTACAGTTCTATTCCATCCCGTAGGGCCCCTCTGAATCAGGATTGACGTGATGGCCGTGGGCAGTGGGTGATGGACGGTCACCCTTACGTCCACTGCAAGATGATGTGATGCAGAATTCTGCATCGCAATCTATCACGTTGATTTCCGTAGATGGGAATGTGTCTAGAATGCTAAATCTCTCTGCGGACAGAAGTCTTCTAAGACACGTTTTCCTCAATCAGCCGAGAGTCAAACAGCCCAGAGAGTGTGGTGTGTGGCACCCTCAACGTAGCCAGCACTTTCCATTCCAGAACTTTCCCCGCAGGTTTCCTCTGGAGTCAGACCCAGATGGCTCCGCTCAGGACTACTTTAAGTGATTGAAAAGGACTAAAAAGCCACAAAAGGAATAGAAATGGATTTTAGATTTTTTGTTGTTGTAGAAATGCATGGTTTTAGTTGTTCTGATGTACAAGGATAAACCAGTTAAGCATGTGTCTCTGGAAAGATGCATACTCGATTGAGAAGCGAACCGGGGTGGGAAAGATAAACTTTTCCACCTCATCGTTTGTGCTACCCAATTCCACCGTCATGTGCGATACACACGCACTCACGCACAGAGAAACCCAAAACATATACGCTAAGATAACAAGTTACCCCACAGGAAAAAGGAGACCTGACACATATGGATAGGCAGCATAGCCTCCCTTTGGCCATAGAGCCTATTTTAATTCCTATGCCCCCTGAGGGACAGAGTAGACTGTCCTGTTTTCCCTTTATGGAGACAGATTGCCACACCCTTCTTCCTTGGAACAGCAGATGGACTGCAGGCCTCCTGGTTCTAGGGAGCATCACCAGGGCTCCCGGTTAGTAGCATGGGTGCTTAGCAATGACTAGATGCTGCACTAGTCTTTCTCAGATATTTAAACCATTCACTTGTATGGTATGTGAAATAGATGTTGAGAAAATGGTTTTTAAGATAGCCGAAGAAGGATGTGTAAGCGCCTTATCAATGAATGCAAAGCAGCGATTTTCCTCTTCCTTCTCCGAGTTCCTTACATGTCCGATGGAATCTGGTTCATCTGATTAATCTGCGTTGTAAATTCCTGTTTCATTGCTTAGCATTCAGCGGAGCTGGCTAATGGTTTCTGATAAAAGGAAAACATCTGTCTTGGAAAGTCTGTAACTTCCCGAGGGTTCCGCAGCACTGACACCAGGGACCCCGCCCCTCTCTGTCCCTTCTGAAACGAATACAGCTGCCTCCTTATGCCCTGCGGTCTACGCTGTAGAAACAGAAGAAATGCTTCTGATCCCCGCTTTATCACCGTGGCCTGGTATATTCACTACCTCCAACTTGCCCATCAGCCACACGTGTCTTCACTTTGAAGCTCAAGTATTTTAGTCCCTCTTCATAATAACATCTTGCTTTCATAAAGCACTTTGTCTCCGCCATCTGCGTTGTCCTTGGCTAGTCTGGAGAACAGATGGGAACCGAGCGCCTTTGACTTTCAGAACAGAAGTGGAGGTGAAGTGGCCAGCGGAGCCATTACTAACCTGTAGAAAGTGCCCCATAATAAAGCCCTGGTGCTGTAGCGGAAGAGCCTTGGTGGTCAGCAGTTCAAAACCACCAGCCACTCAAAGAGAGAAACATGAACCTTTCTACTCCCGTAAAGAGTTACATTCTCAGAAACCCCACAGGGGCAGGCCTCCCCTGCCCTCTAGGGATGCTACAAGTCAGAATCAACCTGATGGCAGTGAGTTTGCTTTGGAGTTTCTGGAGGTGTCCTGGGTTACTTGATGGGCTGCTAACCACAGAGTCAGCAGTTCAAATCCACCAGCCACATGGCAGGAGAAAGATGAGGCGTTAAGCTCCCGTAAAGATTGGCTTTGGGGCTTTGGTTTCTAGGGGGAAAACAATGATCTCATTACATCCTCAAGATGGCTCAATGATGTAAATATTTCTGCCACCCCTACTGTCCAGCCAAGAAAACAGAGGCTTAGAGGACTTAGAGACCCGATTCAAGGTCACACAGATGGTAGCTGTCCTGGAGGGCACCTTGACCCCACCCCCCAGGCTTTCGCACATGCCTGCAGACACCCTCCATCAGGAAGGATGTCCATTGAGCCCAAAGCCTCTGGCAGGTGGAAGTGCCCCCAAGGGAGCTGCTGTCTCTGCAGCTTCTCGCCTGGAGTCTGGGGAGACCCTGGAAGTAGATCTCAGGAAGCCCCAACGGGAAGAGGTTTGGCCTTTCTTAGCTTTTCTAACTTTCAGATTGGCTTGTGTCCATTGGTTCAAGAACTGGTGGGGCAGCTGCTTCGAGTGCCTCTGCCGGTTTCCTGACTCCCACTGGGACTGGCCACGAGAACTAGAGAGAGGCGTGCTTGCTCCCTGCTCACCCGACCCCAAACATCAGGAGTCCAGGTATGGGGTTGCCACCGACGACAGGCCAGCACAGAATTTAGCATGATTTCCATCTGTTTAGTGGCCTTCAAGTCACGCTTGCTACCATTATCCCATTTGATTTCAGAGTGGCCCAGGAAGGAGGCAGGGCAGCTATTATTCTTCTCATGTTACAGTCAAGGAAATGGGTTGGAGGAATGAGTTGCCCAAGGCTATTAAGTTCCTAAGCAGCAGAACTGGGATCCAGAAGCAAGCCTCCGGATTTCCTGGGTCTGCGCTCATTCCCTGGTCCACTCAGGGGCACCAGGATGCAGGGTTCCCACGGCCTACATAATTTCTTCCGGTATTTGATTTTGTCTTGTCCATACTTCAGCTGGAGGGAGGGGGAGATGCTCGAGTCCCTGGCCTGAGTTCCAGTTCTGCTAGAGTGCCTTAATCATTTAAATGAAGATCCTATTACTAATACCATTTACAGGATGAGGATTACTAATACCATTAACTATTACTAATACCATTAACTAATACCATTAACTATTACTAATACCATCAAACGGAGGGGCGGGGCGAGGAATGCCTTGTCTTCTAGTCTCCTTTGCCCACACACTTTCTGAAGCTCCCTCCGTTACGTTGTTTTGAGAATTGAGAACATGAAGCAGATCCAGGATCTAGAACAACCCGCTTCTGATTCTTCCTTACGCTTTTCTCGGGGCTTGCCACCAAATTAGCCAGACCTTGGAAAGACGCAGGAAGACGCCATTGCGCCGTAAATCAAGTAGCCTCTGCCCTCCCACACCCCTACCTGCCTTCCAGAAGCTTCTCCTCCCACACCGGTCATCAATGACCTGAAGGACAGCTGACCCCAAACCCCTTGACTAAGCCTCAAACTTGGAAATGAATTACATTTTTTCTGTGGCTTTCTTTCCCCCTGTCTTTTCTTTCTGGGTTCCTTCTCAGCTCCATCCCGTGTCCCAAATCATTCCAAGCTCAGCCCTTGATAAGACTCCCTAACTCAACTCAAGAAGACGCACTGCCATCCAGTCAATGCGGACTCATACTGGGTTTTCCACAACTGCAACTGTTTACAGGAGCGGAAAGCCCCCAGTCTCTCTCCCGCAATGCTGGTGGTGGTGGGCTCAAACTGCCGACCCTGTGGATTGTAGTCCAACACGTACCCATGACACCACCAGCTAGTGTCCAATTACTGCCTGTTTACGTTCCTCCAAAGGAGTTCTGGTGGTGTAGGGCAGGGGCTCTCAACCTTCCTAATGCCTCAACCCTTTCATACCGTTCCTCATGTGGTGGGGATCCCCCAACCATAAAATTATTTTCATTGCTACTTCATAACTGTAATTTTGCTACTGTTATGAATCGTCACGTAAATATCTGATAGTCCAGATGTATTTTCATTGTTACAAATTGAACATCATTAAAGCATAGTGATTCATCACAAAAACAATAGGTCATTATATATTGTGAACTATTTATTTCTAATGACAAATCAATGGAATTTTGTCTTGAAGCATGGTGTAGAATGGGTAACAGTCTTCACACCGGGTACTCATGTGTGGGTGTATCTGCATGTGGGCAGACCCGCCTGGAGACGGATAGAGGAGCAGTGTCTCAGTTCCTAAGACCATCGGGAATATGTGTTTTCTGATGGTCTTAGGTGACTCCTGTGAAAGGGTTGTTCCACCCCCAAAGGGGTCGTGACCCACAGGTTGAGAATCACTGGTGTCGTGGGTTACGCATTGGGCTGCTACTGAAAGGTCAAGCAGTTCAAAACCACGAGCTACTCTGTTGGAGGAAGGCAAGGCTTCCTGGGAGCTCCAGTGAAGAGGTACCGTCTTGGGAATCCGTAGGGGGAGTTCTACCCTGGCCTCTATGGTCCCTGGGGGTCCGGATCAACAGGATGGCAGTGAATTGGGGGCTTGGCGAAGCCACACCACGAGTTACTGCACTGGGTGACACCAACCCCAGTGACAACTGGCCGAGTGGGCTGGACTTGGGCAAGAAGAGAGCAGAAGCCAACACAGCACTGGCAAGCAACGACCCGGGCAAGCAATGACAAGGGGAGGGTTCTGCAAAGCCATCTCCACTCCGGGAAGCAAGGCAGAGACTGTGCGAAGGTAGGATTAATGTGCACGCTCTCTCCCTAGGTGCCCTGATGATCCGATCAGAGGACTCTGGCTTCGTGGTGATCACAGGGGTGATGAGCAGGAGATACCTGTGTATGGATTTCAGAGGCAACATTTTTGGATCGGTGAGTCTATCTGAGTGCTGGCCACCATTGGAAAACATGTCAAATTGCGTTGTTCGAACATACCGTGGTCATTGACAGCTTAAGGCCCCCATTTGCACTGTACTTAGAGGGTCTGCTATCACTGTGTACTTTATTCAGGGTATGTTGCAACTGCTCAGGTTCACACAACTGCGGTTTCAACCTAGGCCATCTGGTTCTACAGCTCATGCCCCTAACTTCTCTTCTATACTGCGCCCTTGGGGGCCCATTTCTACACGCAGCACAGCACTGTGTCTGTTGCAGCAGGTGCCCGGGCCGCTGGGTTCACATTGTTGAGTAGAGCCCATTAGAAGAGCTGAGAAGCCACCTACTTGGGCATCTTCTTGATCCTGTTTCTGGGACTTCTCATTTCCTTCAACATCAGGTCCCTCACCTGGAAGAAGGGCAGTGAGAGGGATCCTGTAGCCTGCGGAGCTCCCTCTAGTTTAAAGATCTCCAGTGATCTCCGTCACCATGGTGACTAGATGGCTATTCAGATTTGTAAACACAAACTTCTCACGTGGATGCTCCAGGCATCTTCCAAGGGACTTGAGAGAGTGCTTGTAGATCTCTTTTATCTCAGGAGCCTCACCAGGGAGTCCAATCGGAAATGCACGTGGGCCAAGCCCTTTTATTTTGCTCATTGCTGTGGCTTTGTACCTCCCCCACTCTCTGGTCCAGCGAGGACAATACACAGGGATCTGTTGAACAAACACAGAAACCTACAAGTAGCCCTCGTCGGTAAAACACCTACTTCACAGAGTTGAACGCAATGTGTTGGCTAGCCAGCGCTACCCTAACCGGAAAAACCTCCACAGGTGGCTTCGGCAAACACACATTTCTTCCAGTTAGGAGGCTAGAAGTCAGAATGTAGGGTGCTGACTCTCGAGCCAAGAGTTCTCTGTTGGATCTGGGAGAAGGCCCTTGTCTCTTCTGACCTTCTGTTCTGGGGCAATCTTCATGTGGCATGGCTCTATCACTAACCGCCACCCCCCACCCCCACCTCCTCCTCCCCCACTGCCCCATATCAACTTCCTCCTACCTCTGCCTCCTCCATTTACATCTCAAAAGAAATGTACTCAAGATACCCCTTATAGTTGTACTCAACATAATAAAGAGAACCCACTCTCAAATTACCATATGAGGGGGACTATACACCATTTGGGGGTACACCATGCAGCCCATGACATTATGTTAAAGTCCTAATAGGAACTCACAATCATAGGTACCAGTTGGTGGCAGAGTGAGAATTCAAATACAGGTCATCTCTTGCCAAAGTTCAAGTATCTAAGCCCCCAACTGCAGGTCTCACTGATGGTCAGACCTGCAGTTCCATTCGACCCACAGAACGGAGCCCATCTCAGTTCTCCAGGGAAGGGGACAGACCTGAGCCAATTTTCAGCCGGAAGAGGACTCACCATGGTAGAGTGGGGGAAAAGAATGTTTAAATTAGCCCGCTCTCTAGAAACACACACACACACACACACACACACACACACACATGCAGGAGTGTGCTAGCTCTCTGTGCTCCTGGTCCGGCGTGCCACGAGAAGCCCTGCTGGTGTGGTGGTGACACTGCTAAGCACAAGGTCAGCGGTGCAAAACCACAAGCTGCTCTACGGGAGAAAGACGAGACTTTCTACTCCTTTAAAGAGCTGGTCTCGGAAACCCCCAGGGGGCAGTTCTACCCTGGCTTCTAGGGCCACAAGGAGTCAGCCTGGCCTGGATACTGGGGTGGGGGCTGGGGGTGGGGGTGGTTGAGGCATGCCGTGTACCCCCCAGGCCACTTCTTATGGAAGTGAACTGTGCCTGCTATTCCCAGAAAGTCCTTGGGGAATTTGAAAAACATGAGTCAAAATCCGTTCCCCCCAGGAGGAAGCCCTGATACTTCAAGACCCCCATTGGAACACTCAGGTCCACCCGTGCCTACCTAATGGGAGTTGTGGAATCCTTGGGTGGGGGCAAACAGTAAGGTATCCAAGACTGAAAAAGTAGAGGTTCAAATCCACCGGAAGGCCTGCCAAGGGGCTCTGAAAGACACGGGGTCACCATGAGTCGGAATCAGCTGGGTGGCAACTGGCGGGGTGCCTTGGTTTAACGGAGTGGTTGCCTAGATGCATGTACAATATGTGCCAAGGTGGCCACTCAGGGCACTGCCCAGGGCTTCTGGAGGAGTGTGGGGCTAGGAGCTTACAAATTACGCTGGGTTGCTTTACCTACACCACTTTGGCTCTTCCAGCACTACTTCACTGCGGACAGCTGCAGGTTCAGACAGCGGACGCTGGAGAACGGCTATGACGTCTACCACTCTCCTCAGCATCATTTCCTGATCAGCCTGGGCCGGGCCAAGAGGGTCTTCCTGCCCGGCATGAACCCGCCGCCTTACTCCCAGTTCCTGTCCCGAAGGAATGAGATCCCCCTGATTCACTTCAACACCCCCAGGCCCCGGCGGCACACACGGAGTGCCGAGGAGGAAGTGGAGCAGGATCCGCTGAACGTGCTGAAGCCCAGGCCCCGGATGACGCCGGCTCCAGCCTCCTGCTCCCAGGAGCTGCCCAGTGCCGAAGACAACAGCGCCCTGGCCAGCGACCCGCTGGGAGTGGTCAGAGGCAAAAAGCTCAACACCCATGCTGTGGGCATGGGCGCGGAAAGATGCCGCCCCTTTCCCAAGTTCAGGGAGACAGGAAAGGACAACTTTCTAACCAACCCTTGAGCAAAGTAGAGCAGAGAGCCAACCTTTGAAGCCTGAGTGATAGTTTCACTGCCTTCCCACCCCATATACCACCTTCCTGAACAAGAAACCCCAATACAGGTAAACTAGTCCCCGTCCTTCCATGAAGGGGGAGGAGCATGGATTGCTTCTTTCCATATTTATTTTCCCTGTGCCTCTCTCCTTGACCAGCTTAGCCAAGATCCCTGAGGGCTGGGACACCCCCACCGCCCACCCCAACCTCAGACCCCCAGGCGCACCAACTGCTCTTGGCATTTGCCATCTGGCTGGACCTGGTAGCATTTGAGTTGGCCAGCTTTGGGGCCTGGGATATTCACAGGCCAAGTAAGCAAATTGTTGCAAACCCTAATTCCAAGCCTTTGTTCTCCTTTGGGTATTTGTGTGGAAGGGCTTTCAAAGAGATTGGTGGTCGGCTGGTCAAAACTTAAAGGCTTACTCTCAACGGAGGCGGCAACCATGCTAGAAAGCAAACTCAGCCTCCCGGGACTGAGTAGGAAGCGGGTGGCATACTCATGTCCTCTCCCTGTGGCCCTGCCTCATTCCCCAGTGGCCCACAAAGGAGCTCTGCCCCTCGAACTTTAGTGGATTTGGCCCGTGAAAGCGTTCAGTCCATGAAAGCCTGCTCTTGCCGCATGCTTTCAAAACGGCAATGCAATTCCCACCCTGCTGAGGGGTAAGGACAAAGCCTAGATTTCCAGGTGGCATAGCAATCCATTCTAGATCAATTACAAAAAGATCACTGCTGGGGACCACGTCGCTGCTCTGGGCTGGGCTTTCTGTAGACTGTCAAATCCTGTCCTTTTCCTAGGCGAAGTGGCCTCAAGGGCTTAGTGGGAAAGATGTCCCGTTCCAAAGTCTAGGAGTTATGAAAACACAACGCTTGTCCGCCAGCTCACTTTAGCACAGTCACAGTGGCTAACCACTTACTTTGAGCGCTTTAAGGCTGGCACTTGGAGCCTCCATCCATTTAGAAATTTGGGGGGGGGGTTCTTAAATGAAGACCACTTTTGGTCGTAGGTGCCTAATTGTATCCCACAGAAAACGAAGCCTCCCTTACCCAAGAGCGGAGGGACACCAGAATGGGCCCTTGATACTCAGCCCACAGGCCGCCTTACCCTCGACTTCCTCCAACCAGGGGCCTCGATCTCACTGAGCTGAATATGGACCAGCAAAAGAGAGTTCACGAATGCTTTAGGCCAAGTCACCTTTCATTTTCCTTCTTCACTGCCACCCTGGACCAAGCCTGAAAAGTCAACCCATCCTTCTGTGCGTCCCAGCAACGCACACGGAACAACTGGTTTTCCTGCTGGCTTCCAGTTGCGCCTGAAAGCCCGTATGCTGACGCTCTAAAACCATATCTAGGACCAGACAGCAGGGCCTGGTCAGGGTTGTGGTCTTCATGCGACCCATGTCCCATCAGAGGGGTCCCACCTCACAACTGGTGGAAGTTAGGCAAGCCTGAGAAGTACCCAGAAACTCCCCCAAGGACTTTGGTCGAGCACTGGTGGTAACCTCCTTCCCAAGCATCACTATCACTGCGTTGTGTTCTCTTTGGCAGAGCGAGGGCAACCCCTACTATTGCCCATGTGCCCTAGCCAGTGGCAATATTTATTTATTTATTTGGAAAATTTTTGCCTATCCACTCGATATTTATAGAATGGTTACCCCATCTTGTTTCCTTTCTTCTGTTTGAAAGAAAAATAAAATTTATCTCAGCTTTGGTTCGCTTTTCCTGTCTGCGTTACCCCATTAAAAACGGTCAGCCAACGAGAGTAAAAGGGATCCTTGGGTTGGGGGAGGTGGGGCGGCATTGGAAAAACAGGGAAAGCAAATTGGAAAGAGGTGAAGAGAAACGTTAGGTATTCAAAATCTCCCCCAGTCATAAGCAGAAGCTACTCAGCAATTTGATCAATCCGATCAGAACTCTGAAACACACAGGAAACCGATCATTGCAAATATCTGATCACCCTCCTTTGAAGACATTTCCTTCAAACAGAGGAAGCATCTTACTTGAAAAATGTACTCAGACGCACCATCAATTGCCCAGGGAAGCACAGGTACACTTAACACAGGCGGTGTGCCGGCTCCGTGGGCTTGAGAGCAGTGACCAGGGTCACGAATCTCAATGCCTGCTCTTCACATGGTTGCCTGTCTTTAACCTCCATCTGACAAGGTTACCCGAAACACAGCACGCAAACACACAGCACGCAAACACGCCTGTGCCATGTTGGCACCCCTGGAAATGCACATCAGCTCCAGCCAACAGTTAGTTTCTCATGATCTGACTGAGCCATCGGCTCCTCCCTTTCAGTCATCCACAGATAGTGTTCAAATGACCGTCTGATAGGGTGGGCAAAGTGAACTTTCTTTAGAGAAGGCCTGTTGTAATAATCAAAGTACCCAAGTCCTCCATACTGGGCAGCAAAAAAAAAAAAAAAAAGGATAAAGGTAGAAGAGGACACCAGGATGCCAGAGGTAAGGTTGGCATATTCACACTCGGGCTGTGATGGTGATCTGTAAGTATGGATTATGAATGGGTGCAGGTCAGAGAGTGAGAGGATACCGACCTATATAGATAGCCTAGGCATTGGCCATTGGTGCATTTGCAGTTACCATTGCTGCAACTGGATCTATGAATGCAGAGCTTACCAAGGTCAATCGGCTAACCCTCAAAGACAAGGTTCTACATGTTGCACCTTCTACTTACGAAGTACCAACTCAGGTCTTTGAAGCTCCTCAGAGACCACCTAAGGTACAAATGTTGGTCTCTCCATGCCTGAAGGAAAGATGAGTAGAAAACTGAGGACTCGTGGAATCAATGGGTCCAATGGACTAATGGAGCACATACCCATCAGCTTCCACCACCCTGAGACTAGAACGAGAAGGTGTCCCCAAAGCACTGCCTATGACTCTGAATGGGGTCACAGCAAAAGGGCCTAAATCAGCAGCTCTCAACCTGTGGGTCGCAACCCCTTTTGGGAGTTGAACGACTCGTTCACAGGGGTCGCCTGATTCATGACAGTAGCAAAATGACAGTGATGAAGTAGCAACGAAAATAATTTTATGATTGGTGGTCACCACCACATGAGGAACTGTATGAAAGGGTCATGGCATGAGGAAGGTTGAGAGCCACTGTCCTAAATAAAGTGGGAGAAAATGTGAAATAAAAAAAAGCAGGCTCATTTGTCAGACAGTGACAGGTGGAGCCCCTGGGACAATGGTCCTTAGCCACCCCTCAGGTCTAAAAATGAACTCAGCCCATTGCTCAATTGTTTGCCAGACCACAAGGCAGATTTATAAGGGGAACAGTGAGACTAGGGAGGTATGCATGCCTTAGAATAATCATTATGTGAGGTCCAAAGGGCAACAGACGCAAGGGTTCAGAAGGGTTAGGAAAGGAGAAAGAATGGCAAGAGGTGGACGTGGGGCAAGTGATGTTAAACTGTGGGAATTGCAATCAATGACATGAAGCAAAATGTGTGCACTGTAAACAGGAAATGGATCTGCTTTGTAAATTTACACACACACACACACACACACACACCTCTCCTCCATACTAGAGAGGGTAACCATCAGGTTCCACCCATGGCACAGGCCAAATTTTTTTGGCCACATAAAACACCAAAGACTTTCACTGCTGCCGCATAATAGACCCAACTCACAGGGACCCTAAAAGAGAGTAGAATGGTCCCGCTGGGTGACTCCCGATGGGAGCAAAAAGCCTCATCTTTCTCCTGCAGAGCTACTGGTGGTCTCAAACTGCTGACCTTGTCATTAGCAGCCCACAGCATAACCGCTATGGGCTCCCTTACCAAAATACCAAAACCCAAACCAAACTCACTGCCACAGAGTCCATGCTGACTCATGGCGTCTCCCTGTGGGTTTCCAAGACGGGAACTGTTCACGGGAGCAGAAAGCCCAGCCTTTCTCCCTCGGAGATGCTGGTGGATTTGGACCACAGATCACAGCCCAACTAGTAACCGCGGCACCACCCGGACTCCAGGACCAAAGCATCGGTGCTGTGATGCTGGGTTTAGCTCTCTCTAGTCTGTGTCTAGGCAAACACTTTCTTGTTGTCGCTGTCACCAAGTCGGCTCTGATGCACGGCATCCCTGCGTCCAACCGGACAAAACTCCACCTGGCCCGGTGTTACCCTATGGGGGGAGGTCAGATGCTTACAGACATCTTCCTGAAGACAGTCACCAGGGAGTAGGCCCTGCTCCCTGCTGCTGGGGACAATGGACTAAGGCTTGGGACCATTAGCTTGGTTCCTGTAGGTGGGGTTTACACCCTACTGATAATGGTTCCTATGGAGATCCAGAGAACAGGTCAAACCAGCTCAGTTAAGCTGCCATCCTATATCTAGGATCCATCCGCTCATCTTGCCACATGTATACCCCCAACCCATCCTCTTCCTATTGCGTGGATACCTCTAGATCACCCCCTTCCACTACTGTGTTACCTATAGCACAACCCCTTCCTGTGGTGTCTTCACCTGTAATTAGTGGGCTTGCACACCCCCAAAGCTATGTAAACCTGGGTTAGCAATAGAGGTCTCTCTTGCTGGTCTCTCCCGTACTCTCTCCTTGGCTCCCTCTCCTCCTGTTTCCCTTTCCCCTTGTCCTCCTTCCCTTCCCCCTCCACGTGGATCAAGTGGGGTTGAGGTGAGCATTGCTACCATGAAATGTGTCTGACTCCATTACTTGTCTCTCTCTTATCTCTCATGCTCTCGATGACTTTAATTATATATATATAGCTCAACCATACACTTGTACTAATTAAACCCATGATTAGCAGTGGGGGGCTGGCCCCCCACCTCATACCACAGTCACCCTATTAGTCCTTTTTATGTTTGAGCCCGCGGTTGCAGTTGCTGTGTCAACCCATCGTGTCAAAGGGCTTCCTCGTTGACTGCCCCTCTACTTGACCACTAAGCAAGATGTCCTTTTCCAACGATTTGTCTCTCCTGACATGTCCAAAGCCTGTGAGACGAAGTCTCGCCATCCTTGCTTCGAAGGCACATTCTTGTTGTACTCCTTCCAAGACAGATCTCTTTGTTCTTTGGGCAGTGGATGGTATGTTCATCTTTGTGGGATACCAGCCCCTATAATCGAGGGGGCCCAAGGGGCAGTTGTGTAATTGAGGGGTAAAATTAAAGAGACACCAGACAAGATAAGGCATGCAAGGGCTCACCTCCAGGACCACCATGACTTCAGCAGCCAGGTCCGCACAGAGAATATATTTCCAACCAAGGCTTATATACACTCAGGGGGCATGCAAGCCCCCCTAATTACAGGTAACCACATACGTAACTAAGTGGCCTGTATCCTATCCCTAAAGGTCTCTGAGTACATAGGAGTAATCTAACACGTTTCTCAGGGCAGGTGAGGGGGAGTGGCTGTCTTCAGAGCCTAGAGATCAATAGCACACTTCCTCTTCTATAGATCAAGCTGCCGGCTACATAGCAGTGAGCACGTGCTTTTAAGAGGTAACTTGAAGGTAGCACTGTGATGGGAGGATATGGTGGGGAACAATATTAATGAGAATGTGATTGGGACTCACCTCCAACTCACATGAAGGCCTCCCTCCACCCCAGAAACCCAGCCTGTCAGGCTCCTGAATCTGTGAAACCAAAGGATTCATCCGCATACACTCTTTTCTCGTTCTCGGCTCCCCACACACACATTTCTCATCCTCCTCCCACGGAGCAGCTCGGGGCTCAGATTGCTGACCTTGCGGTTAGCAGCCTAACCCAGAACCCACCATGCTACCAGGGTGTCAACCAAACAGCAGGCTCGGCTCGTAAAGTCGGTAAGTATGAAGGAATACCCGATAATCATGTTGTGAGTAAAAAGGCCTTCACTCCATGGCCGTCTAGTTACCTCCGACTCAGATGGACCCTGTGTAGGGCCCCTGAGACGAAATCTTTATGGAGCTGAGCGGCTGGTGGATTTGAACCACCAAGCTTACAGGTAATAGCTAAACACCGAACCCACAGTGCCACCAGCGCTACTTATTATCAAAGGGAAATTAAACTTGACAAAGGTGTCGCCTTCCACAGGCTTGCGGGAGTTCCTTTCTCACACCAAGTATGTGTGAATTTAACTTTTTTTTTTTTAACACAATCGGTGGGGTGAGGATGGAGTATACAGGAAGAAAACATGTCAACATGCCACACATATTTCTAGGGAGCTTTATGGTACAACATCCGGCTGCTAGAAGCTCACTACCTATGCCTAGGTGGGGCTTATTGCCCAACCTTGGGCTCTTCTAGGAGCCTCGGTGGTGCTGTGGGCTACAAGTTGGGCTGCTAACTGCAGAGTCAGCAGTTCAAACCCATTAGATGCTTTGGGGGAGAAAGATGGGGCTTTCTACTCCTGTTTAAAGAGTCTGAAACCCCCCCCCCAAGGAACATTTCCACTCTGTCCATGGGGTCACTGTGAGTTGGAATCCACTATATGTTGATGTTTTTCTTCTCTGCCTAATTGCCTCTTGAAGGTCCTATAGGGCTGACACAGGAGGTGCTCAGGAGAAAGGAAGCTCACTAGTCAGGCCCCAGGATCATCTCCGCTTCCTGACTTAGGGGCACTTGATTTGACAGGGATGGAGCCGAGATGCAGCCCAAGCAGAGCGACAATCTCACCAGGCTGAGGAAACCGCCGTGAGAATGGTCATCCTTGAAGCACTGCCCACACCAGACCAAATGCTGGTGAGAATGTGGAGCATCAGAAGCCTCGCTCCTTGCTGGTGGTACTGAGAAGCGGGACAGCTGCTTTAGTGAGGTCGCTGTTCTTAGCAAACAGGACAGCAACCCCGGGCCCGGGCCATTTACTCAAATGCTTGTGAAGCATTCCCCAAAACTTTGTGTACAAGTGTTTCCAGCAGCTTTATTTACAGACATGGGAACCAGTACTCTTCTGGAAGCGAATCAATCGTGTCACATTCAGGCAATGAAATATTACTCAGCCATCAAAAGGGTCGGGAGCTAGAAAAAGGCAGGGAACATGTGGACAACTGCCTCCACGACCAACTGCCACCTTTGTCTTAAACCCAAACTGAACGGTGCCCTACTCACTACCTTTTACTTTTGGGCTTATTTTAAATGTATTATGGATTAAGTAGAAGTTCACTAGTGAACATTTGGATGACACCATACAAGGATCCTAATCAAAAGGGGAAACTACAAAACAGAATTGCAAATTCTAATGGACTCAGTTTTCCGGAGCCCTGACAGGGGGTGAATAAACCCCTAAAACTGTGGCTGAGATCGTTAAGCCTCAAAAGCAAGGGTCCTTAAACTGCAGCCCGCCGAGGACAGTTATCAGGCCCGCCGGGTGTTTTTGCCCCATTTTGTTTTTTACTTCAAAATAAGATATGAGCAGTGTGCATAGGAATTTGTTCATAGTTTTTTTTTAAACTATAGTCTAGCCCTCCAACGGGTCTGAGGGACAGTGAACTGGCCCCTTGTTTAAAAAGTTTGAGGACCCCTGCTCAAAAGTATCCTCTAACTCCCCCTTAAAATAGAACAGTTTAACTCAACTAGTGAAAAACACAATAGAAATTTTTAAGAAGTCAGCCTTGAACATTATGCTCTTTTAAGAACTATATGGGATCAAACTGACAGCAGCAACCCACAAGACTGGCTGAGAACCATGCAGGGTCGAGACTGTTAGTTGCTAACGGGAGGAACGAGTAAGGAGGCTGAGGTGGTCGCACAACTACAGGGATGTGGTCAGTGTCGCTCAATGGAGCCTGCAGAAACCGTGGGACTGGTGTGTTTTGCTGTGTCTATTACAGCAAAGTGTGGAAGGAAAACAAAAAAGAATCATGAAGCTAAAACAGGGAAACCTCCCATGAAAACAGACCCTTTATGATTGCAGCTACCGAACATTCTGGAAAATGAAAAACTAGGGAGATAGTACAAGGTCAGAGGTATTACCGGGAAGTTCAGTAAAAGGTCAGGAGGAGGGAGCAGGCTGGGAAGTGTTTCCATGATGCAACAATGGGGGACACAGGGCATTTAGCTGGGGCCAAAGCCCACGGGGCTGTGCAGCACCAAAAATGAACCCTAATGCACACTCCAGCCAAGAATGGATCGCCATTGGTTCATCAACGGTAACAAATCATCTTGCTAATGGAAGATGTGAG